AGTTTTTCTCCGTGGGAGAGAGAGACCGTTGAAGGTCATCAAGGCTCCTGACCAAATTTACACTGTTATTAAAAAGTCGGAATTGGTTGCTACAATATAAATATAAAAAAGACGGAAATGAGTCAGCAGATATTTCAGTTCCATGATTCGACACTAACAGCACATTGTGATAGAGTTCAGAGGACATGTGTAAAATATATATTATACCGGTGCTACACTGTGATGTGGGATCTAGTTATTCTAGTACGTTACAGATCAACATAACAGAACGGAATCAGTATAAAATATAAATAAACAATAGGAATAGCACAGACACAATAATAAAAAAATTAATTGCACCATGTTATACTATTATTAAGATAGGGCAATTATTATGAGTAATATTCTTAATTCTGGAGAAATATAGAGGATACAGAACAGCACAGACACAATGATGAAAAAATTTGCATCATGAGAGACACGCATTTTTTTTTATATTCGTGTACACCCAACCGCATCATAGACTGCAGATTCTAGTTTGTCTTGCGAGGCAGTCAATCTCTGATTAAAAGTCGCATTAAGCTTGCATACAGTTATCTTGAAACATAGGAAAACCTATTAAAATGTATCATTGTTAAATAACATCAGCATCAAAGAATTAAATTATTGTTTATATGCGAATGAATTTGTTTGTCGTTGACGAAAATGGACAACGTTTTTGAAGAATCGGGATCTACCAGCGCATATCACAAACTAATCCCAGCAAGTTTGATAATCACTGCAATACCCGAAGGAATGGTAATCTTTTCGCCAGTTTTTGTTTTTCATGCACCGCCACATAGATGCCTAGTTCCGGAGATTGATCATCAAAAAAATTTGTGTTTGATTCAGTTTTGTAATTGTCTTCAAGTTGCTTACCGTAAAATTTAAATATATAAATTTCAGCTAATACGTTTCAATAAACAAGTTGCACATTTCATGAAATACCTTGAATAATTTTTTTTTGTTACAGAATTATATTCATTTCAACAATTCCTATTTGTTCAATTATATTCCTCAGAAAATACCAAAACGTTGAGTAGCTGCCGAAGGTACAGATAATAATCTTTCCTTTGTTATCTTGATTATCTTCATTAAAATGTTTATTGTGTAATATTATATAGTTTTGACAAAATATACGACAATTTCTGTGTATCGAAGTGACCAGTTTTAATATTTCTTATTATTCCCGAACTTTTTATTTGGACAACAAATGACACTCTAGTCTAGACCAAAATTTCCATGGAGTATACTTAATAATTATTCTCAGTATTACCAAATTTTAGTATCCGTCGTCAGCGACAATCTTTGACGCTATGAACCAACGATGTAAAAAATGTTACGCTATTGTACAACAATATATTAAGTTACAAAATCCATGATTTTCTTATATTAAGATTTGCCGTTGAAATCCAAACTAATCAATCTGCTGAAAATTATATTCAAGTAAACAGAAGTCTTATCGAACCGTGTGAAAATGGTTTTGTATATGACAACAGAGACGGCAAAACAACTGCAGCTATGGAGATATATTATATTATCCATAATTTAAAAATGTCTTTAAAGACGCAGCTCACATTGAACTTACGAGTTACGAATATCGATTAGAACCCCCCCCCCCCCCCATGGTTTTCTAATAAATCCTTATTTGTCTATGGGGGCAATTTGTTGGTTTAGCGCAGGGTGATCCAAACCCAGGCCCGCGAGCCACATGTGGGTCGCCACCTTATTATCTGTGGCCAGCGTTACATTTGCGGGAGGGTGACAAAAAATCGCATTTGGTGTTGTTTCGTCATCAAAATAACCAGAAAAAATCTTTAGACATATTGTTACATCACTAATGTCACTGAATTGACTAGTGTTATGGCTAGCTGAGGCAACTAGCAAAGTTGAATAATGTGCTTGGCTAGTCTAAATTGTTAACTGGCTTTCTATCTTTTTGGTCGGGAATTTTTGCTACAAAATAGTCTTTATAGGAAACTAAAAATCGAATGAGGAACCTATTAGTCTAAGTTGGCTATGCCTGATAAATAAATTTTAATGTTATGGCCGAAAATATAATTCCTGCCGGGTGTTTTTTTGCAACCAGCCTAAACAGTATTAAAAAAATGCTGCCTATATGTCAGACAATTTAGTAACTATACTAATTAACCTTCTGTATCTCAAATTCGAAAACGGCATTTTTCTCTTTATGGCACTTTCATCCGTTTTGAAAAGTTTGAAAGCTTACACTACATGTAGGATATAGTAAAATGTTTGCACGTTTTAGTAAGGTTTTTGGTAGTTCTTCCATGTTTTAGCTTGATAAATGACAAATAATGATAATGTGTTTCAACAATAAAGGTGTTTGTTTTGTATTGCAATGTTCACCTATTCTTGGCACTATTGTGGCTCGCAAAAATAACTTTGTGGCCCGCGAGGCCGACAATAACTCGAGGCTCTTGGACCACCCTGGTTAAGCTATTTCATGTATCACTGACCTGTTTGTATATTGTGCTTGTTGTTTGTCTGGATTAAGTAATTTATGAAAAAGGTTTTATATTTACTAATATTTATACAAGTTGCAATTTAATCACTGAACGCTGAAAGCATGTGTCGGTTAAGATTTGCGATTATTTGCAACTTTCATTCTGCAGTTCAATTCATTTTGTGGCGAAGAGTGGAAAAAACCATTCCTGACATCGAGTTTTTCAATCGGTGCCCTTGCTCGGGGCACCAAAGAAAGGGAGTCACTACAGAAATTTTTGTAGACGACCTACAATTGAATCCCAAAAATGCATTCATTTTAGTAGCATAGAAAATAGATTAACTATAGCGTACTTTGCTTTAATTTGCTTATTAATCATCATAATTCGAGGAAAAATGGTGGGTGACATCGGCATACTTTCAGAATGAATAGAAATATACGTCGCACTCGTAATATAATGCGCTTAATCTTTAGTGCATGCGGTTGAATCTATAAAAGAGCATAACGCCGCACTAATTGCAACAATTTTTCAGAGGTGTTCTATAAATTTGGAAACTGTGAACGAGAGATAAGACCAGACATGGGCAAAGTATGGCCCGCGGGCCCAATCCGGCCCGTTGGGTGATTCAATCTGACCCGCCAGGTGCTGTCACAACCAAACTGAAATCAAATTTTGATATTTCAGCAAAAAATAACTCGAAGGTATTTGTTGAGATTGCGGTTACATTCAGTTTGGGCACGAGGCTTATTGTTTTTCACTGTTGCCTTTGTAACACTGTAAATATTGTTCATAAAATGTAACTTTTTACGTCACACTTACATGGCCCGCCAGTTTAGGTGATCAAAATTTGCCCACCCCTGGAGGCCTGGATAAGACAGTTAGTTTGCACCAGAGCTAGAATGAATCAAATTGATGAACCAAATGAGCTTTGATCATATAAATTAAGAATTATACGAGTATTAGATTCTTGATTTGGGGAAATTTTGAAATATCCGAATCTGCAAATTGTTGATTTTGAGAATTTAATTTGGCAAAAACCAAGTAGGGCCAAGTAGGCATGGGTTCATCAGATTTAGGAAAACTTGGGAACGTATAAAGAATTATATTTCGATCAAGAACATTCGTTTGTATAATAAATAAACCAAAATCCCATCTCGCGATCTCCTGACATCCGCTCTTTATATGACATCGTGTTATATAAGTGAAGGAATTATTTTCAAGATTTATCTGCTTGCAGAATTGGGTGCTGGGAATGGCGGCCAGAGTAACCCAGGTTAATTTTGGAGCGAAATTTCGGAATGACTCCTCAATATCGAAGATGCCAATAATCAAATGAAATGTTGAATATGGCGACCAGTCATTGTATGCCTTCCAATTTTCGTACTGTGCACCACTATATTTTTCAGATTTAATCCTTACTGCTCCTAATTTTAAAGTAGCATAACTCAGTTATTATATTGTGACATGGGTTGCACATATTCCAAGTTTTTACCAGAGGATGAAGATGGCGAAGAAGTTATTGAGCTATAACCCTAACCTGGTACACATGCTACGTTCCGGTGTCCGTCATCTTGGCGCATATACTACGGGAGCACATTATACCATATAACATTACCCGATGTAGTTTTTGGCTGCTTTGACAAATTTGGTATTTTGAAGGTCGGAATGTACCGTTTTCTCATTGTCCATCGAATTTGTTACATCACGCTTGAAATCGGGTCATACCGAAAACTTTAGATTCACCTATTTTGTTATTATCATTTTTTTACATATTATGTGTATTCTGGTTGACGAAATAATAAATTCAACTTTTTTTTCTGGGGAAAAACACGTTCAAAGAAAGTCTGTAGAACCCGTATTTGGGGAATGATCGACGAATGACTTTTATTTAGCTTTTCAAAAATTTGAAACCCTGTGATACTTGGGGTGAAGTTTCAAACTAAATATCAATTTTAATACTGGTGGTGCCGACAGGGAGAACCTAACGTTAGTTCAAATATTTCCTAATTTTGGAGTGATCGGAATCACGGTTTAACTTTCAACAATTGCCGTCGGCTCTGGCATTCGTTTGTCTATGGAACATCAAGAAATATGGCACGTCAAGAAATATGGCACCCTGTGGCGGTTCCGCATGCGCGCTTGTCGTGAAGACTGCAGTACCGGTAGTCTATTGTGACAGATCGCAAACTTTTACTCGTAAAGAGTTTTCGCTGTATTTATTTCTATCAAGCGTGACGAATGTCTTAAACTTCGATTTTACAGAACGGAAGTTTTTCAATACCGATGACGCATTGTAGGTAGGTAAGGTAATGTACTGTAAAAGATAATGTTTGGGTGCCGACATCAACAATGACAATTTCATAGTTTGGCCTGCAGAAGTAGATTGAGCCTGTGGAAACTAGAAGTCGAGATATTTTTTGTTTAGCCCAAAATCTTTCGTCCCATTCTCCCAAATCTAATGGCGAAATTAGGCGATTGGAACAACTCTGCAAATCTTCATAACAACAGCTCGTATACTAGATATTGGAATATATATTTTAAGGGATTACATTGTTGCAAAAGAATTATATATATAAATTCAATTTCAAAATAAGATTATTTTTTACGTTGCTTCAGGATGCAAACGTGTTTTATAGTGAGTAAATGAAGTTACCAGATATTGGAATATTTCCACGAATTACATTTTTGTAAACAGAATATATGAGTATATATATTTAATTCCAAAATAAAATCGTTTTTACCTTTCATCGGAATAAACCGCAAACATGTTATACGGTAGCAAAATATCAGATTTATGATCTACTGAAATGCGAAAAAATCAAAACGGAATTGATGCAAAGTGGTTGCATAACAATTGAAAGTTTTTAAGTATATAAATGCATTCATTTAGTCACTAAGCGGCTTTAGGTACTGTTGAACTGCAACGTAATAGAACAGCTGATTTCATTTTACAAGTATTTGTACAATCAGGTCAAACCACCACCAATGCAACATTACAAATAATAAAAACGGAAAGACTGGTCTCTAGAAGAACCAAGACAAAGCGAAAATCTCATGCTATATTATGAAAATTTGATTTATACATCACTAATGAAATGACAAATTTTCTAAAACCCGAAAAAATATGAAATAAATGATACTATAATTGATACAATTTACCATACAGAACATACTACTCTTACCAAACCGTAGGGGTCGCTGGTGGTAGTTAAAACAACAAATTACTGTGGTATTGGTAGAATTCTCATAAGCCATTCAGTATTTAACAATAAGAAACTTAACAATCGATGTGATAATCATTAGGTCCAAGAGTTGCTAATTTGTAATTCAGTGGTTCAGAAGTTATTGTTTTGAATCGTATTGATAATAAAACACCGAATTTTGAAAGGCTTAAATTCAATCGTCTTTCAAATTCATTTGCAATGACACAACAAATAAATTTGTATAAATCCGCCTTTTTTCCATGACGCCCTTCAACAGTACTGAATATCAGATGAATAAATGAAATTTCAGTTTGAAAATAATTTTCCATAGTTCATGAGCAAAAATAGTGCATGTATACGGAATATAAGCTAAATAAAAGATTTGAAAGAATAATGTTGGAAGCAAAATGTTGAAGAAATCATAATTAAGATTCTTTAGTATAAAATCTGATCATAAAGCTGGTGTTTGGATTCAGGTAGTAAATTAATAAGTGAAGAAACATGTGACAATACAAATGTGTCGATGTCAACATTTCATGCACTTTCCATATTATTCGTACAGTTGAGCAGGCCATCGCAATAGTTCCAAAATATAACAGATATAACTTGCAAGCTTTAAGCATCGAAAAATTCAGATAATAACTCATGGATTAATAAAAAACGGGTATTCTCAAATAGTAAAAATAGCCATCGAATGAAGTTGAGTGTGTTTGATAATTACAAGACAAAATTCACTAATTGTACTAATGGGTAGTCCAACTCTGGCAAACAATCGTGGAAAAAACTCGCAATAATATTACAAATATATACGAGAATAGTTTACACTCAATCGCAAATCCTAATATATCAAATCACGTCGGTTTTACTACTATAGTATCACACATGTTACACGGAGCCACGCATTCTCCAGGTTCCTTTCCCAATGTTGGTATTTCGGTAGGTGCTTTGCAAGAAGGATTTTGGCATTTGTATTTCTTAAGAGGAGTGACTTCATGTGCCTCAGCAAAACGTCGAGGATTGAAACTTAAGTAGAATTCAACTCTTGTTTTCTTTTTAGAATGGGAAACTCCGATGGAATATCTTTGCGGTAAAAAAAAGACCCCGATTGGTGTTGAGGTGCCGATGTCAACAATGATTATTCCATCGTATGGCCTGCTAAAGGAGATCGATCCTGTGCAAACTTGAAGTCGGGATATTTGTTGTTTATTTGTCCAGAACCTTCCTTCCCATTCTCCCAATTCCGAGGACGAAATCAGCCGATTGAAACTTTGAGAATCTTCACTTCGACCAAGCCATTCACTTGTGTCAAGTAGATGCAGATGAGTAAAGTCGTTATGTCTCATATATTCCTTGATTTTATTAGACTCTGTACTGAAAGCGTCGGCTATCTTTCGACTAACAGAACTCAAAGATAACGTGGTGGCCAACACATAATGATAGAAGTTTGCTAGTGAGCCAATTTCCTTGCGAGCTCTCCATTTTACTATGCGTGACAGTACGTCGTTCAAATAATATGTTCGAGGCATGTGCTTATGTCTTATTGCTTTCAGCCATTCCATCATATAACTAGATATTCTAACTGTAGACAGTTCATCGTTACAAGCAGCATCACATATTTTTTCGCACAGATTAACAAATGTTTCTATTTGTTTCGTAGTCTTCACGTCTTCGTTCAGTTTGAACCACTTTCTATTTTGTCCACGAAGTTTGATCTTGAGCATTGAGAGATGACATTTCATCGAATGAATGGATGTATCATTTCCAGCCCATTGCTCCAACGCCTTAGTTGCGTTTGAGAAAAAGAAATTGAAGTGATTTAAGCAAAGATTAATTTCCTCTTCGGGTATGTCCATATTTCTAGACCTGTCCGATATACAATGCGCCAGAAGGAGATCACATTCGTGAAATGATTTGAGTACAAAATTACCCAGGTCACAGTACGGACTGTCTTTTTCAAGCAAAGATTGATATTGACCGTTACTTATTTGCTTTGCAAGCTCTATGAGTAACAAGCGAACCTTGAGTTCGCCTATATTTGCGAAAGCGGGATTCGAGCCCTTCTGGTACCAATCTCTTCCGTTTTCAAAATTTTTGATGGCTCTTTTAGCCTTTTCGAGACAAGATCTGATCAAATTTGGTCGACTTTTTCCAAGTAATGTGCGTTCGGAAATGTTCCCCAAACGACCACCAATTTCTGATCGAATGTGCGACATACAAGCGAATCCTGCCATGTTATATATTCTTTCCAATACACTATCTCCTTTATTGTTTCCAGCATTTTTGGAAAACAATAGATTTGAATCCGGCCTTCTGGTTTCGTTCTTCTTGGTCTCAATCGCCTGCGTGAAGCAAGTTTCTGCCTGCTCAAATTCACCCTGTTTTGAATGAAATCTTCCTAAGTGAGCTCGATATTCAGCTTGGTTTGGAAAACAGATAACTAGTTTTTTCAATATGGTTCCCTTATCCGCATTGGAACATGTTTCTTCAAGGAGCTTCGAGTAGTGGAGTCGCGGCCTTGAGTCCAACTCGTTTTCTCCGGGGTCGTCATAATTGCGACGGATAAATATGGAAGTGAGTATTTCGTAAATATGAGATCCCACTGTACCATAGTCCCCAACGTAATCGTGCATATTTTCTATAAAACTTGTAGCCCAACGGCATAGCTCTCGCGAAGCCTCTTTTGTAAGATTGTTGTAACTGAAATCGTATTCAGTCGTAGACCTTTTCACCAATACTTGTTCCAAAATAAGCTTACTAACAATATAGTGAGTAATTTTCCAACTTTGCTCTTCCTCTGTTATAAACTGCCTGGCTGCGTGTGGTAGATCCTCTAATTCAACAGTTTCATTATCAGTCTTGTGAAGAATTTTTCCAAATAGTTTGCTTGGCAATGGCCTATGTCCGTAGTAATTTGCTAACGATAAAAACACCAAAACAGTGTGCCAATCTTGAAGTTTTTGATTGTTTTCAATCTGCAAATATCCGTGAACATATCGGCGAACTCCTTGGAACTTTGATTGAAATGCTGTTAATCCATATTCAAAAACAAAATGTTCTTTTCCGTTTTCTATTTCTTTCGAGAGTGACATCAGTTTAGACTTGTTTTCTGCAGCAGCCTCTGAGTAAATCGTACCAAACTCTTTAGCTTCTTGTCTGGAAACACTATCCCGAAGAAAAAATATACCATCTCCACTAGGAGCTTTCTCGGATTCCTGATAAAATCGACGAACATGAATCACTAAGATTCTCATTTTGCTACAAATTGCCATAATTTTTTTCACATCATGCATGCTTCTGCCATCCAACAGCAAAACAGTTTGAAGGCGTGTTAAATTTCGAATCGTTATGAGACGATCTTCAAGATTTTTCAAAATAATTTGTCCTGATTTTAACTCTCCACATGGAAGCTTATCACGCAGCTCAAACAGCAATCTTCGTGCGAAAGTGGTTCCTCCGCCCCCGGGTGAATGAAATATTGTTACAAGTCCGGTTTTGCCCGTTTTCGCATGTTTTTGTTCGATGTACGCTTTCGTCTCTTCAAGTAGATCTCTTTTTACGTCGTACTTGCCAAGTTCTAAAACTGTCCAATCAATATCATGACCTTTGAGAAAATCAAGACCTTTGTTTTGAGTAGGATTTTCAGTAGTTGTACCACTTTGATCAATATCAGGCATAACCAAAATATGTACTTGAGTCCTGATCCAAACCAGTTCTTCCTGGTCTACTTCAACTTTGACGAGCGTTTCTCCCTGATCAGGATATTTTGGGAGAGTCATAGCCCCAGAAGACGTCGTCAGGGATTGATGGCTATCTTCCATTATTTTTTTGAACCACTGACACAGTGTTTTGATGGGAACAACAATAGTATTGTCAAGAAAATCAAGACGTTCAAACATTCTGTACAATCCACTGTGTTTGCTTGGCAGTGCGGGAACGCATACAATACAATTGAACGTAATCGAGCGACCGGCGAAATGGTATTGTAGACCGCCTAAAAAGCTTTCAAAGTTTTTATTCAAATTGCTATATTTGGGATACCACATTACAAGAATAACTGGTACTTTCTGCACCACACAGTACTCCACCAGGCTATCGCCGTGTTTATATATCACTTGGGGAGGGATGGCGCGGTTTACCGAGCTTAATGTATCTGCGCTATCAGTATAACCATTGATGAATACCCAATTAGTGACGTCGTCATTAGGAATATCGACGCTATCAAGTTGATCGGTTTTGGTGTGATGTCGTTTTCCTAATACCTCTTCAGTCCATGAAAGTAATCCGTTAACTCTGCTTTTCGAATCAAAATCGAATACTCGAATCCAAGGAACTGCGACAATATCATTTAAAGCGGCAGACCGTTCGTGGAGCGGACTCACGATCAATATGTAACATCTTTTTTTGCTGACTACTCCGAACAATTCTTTGAACCTTCTGAATTTGGTCTCATATGTTTTAATGTCTTCCTCACATACCTCTAGCTGGTCGTTGATTCCTGACGAAATCTCGGCAACAGCGTTATCTTCGTCATTGGGGATATCTTAAAATAAAATAACAAAATAAGAAAGCTACATTTTCTTCATATACTTTGCAAAAAAAGTTTCAAATATTCCGAAAAAAAACTCTGGAGAAATATATGCCTGTGCGATTACAAAACGCAACAAGATTTAATTTAAGCATTATGAGTCACACTAATAATCCAAAAAATTGAACCCCGTCACAACGTATTTGCTCACTAGTTAGGGAGGGTTTTAAATTTCCCAACAAAACCAAGTACTGAAGTAAACACTGACTAACCATCTGAAATAAAATCTGACACTTGTTCACCATCCTTAGCACGGAACTCTTTAATCAAATCTGCTATATCTTCTCCCCTAATGCGGTCTTTAAAAACTTTGCAAGTAAAGTCTTTCACGTGCTCCGGAATGTGTCGTATTTGGCTTCTTCTCATAAGTAATAACGTGTTTTCTTTTGTTGAAACGTCGGCATTTTCAAGAAGGCGCAGGTGAAACGAGAATTCTTCTTTTACAAATTTGTCGGTGATCAAAAACACTCTGAAATTGAACGTTCGCTGAGAAGTGTGTATTATTGTTATACGACAAAATGTAAGCAATAACTGCGTTTATTTATGTACGCTTCAAATATTAGTGAGCTGTCAACTAAAAGAAGAGCAATGATAGTTGAGTCATGGACTCGAAAGCTTTTACTCGCGACAGATATATCAATGCTGTGAAATCGGAGATTTGCAAAGTTTTCACTGATGTTCGATTCTGAGGCTTAATTTTAAGTTTCCAAAACTGGAGTCAAATTATGAAGTTTCCGTATTCGGGAGCCAGACTTTTATTTTTCGGTAATTATCGAATTCATAGTTTCCAACAAAAACTCAAAAAGCATTAAGTTAAGCTTGACATGAGCATTCTCAATTTGCAAATAAAGAAAACTTGCGCCCATAATTTAGTTTTCTCAAATTTCAAATTTGGAGTCAAGGTTAAAATATTTATTTGGATGCGGGAAGAAAGGAAGACGGTGAATTGTGTCAATTTCTACAATATACAGTTACCTTAAATCAGATCGCTTCGCAATTGAATAGAGATTTTGTAATTTTGGTCTAGCCGCAGGAGCATCTCTTTGACTGAGACATATTGTAAGGCCATCTTCAATCAATATTTTCTCGGCATCCAAAATCTTTTCTTTCGTAGTATAGTGAAAATATATTGCCACGTCATAATTTCCCAATCCAGACGAACTCTCTGTTGCAGAGTCTGTAATTCAGGTATTAAAAAACACATTAACTTACTGTGCTTAAGTTCTCTTGAATTTTACATAAAAACTGTCAGCAGCGTTCCAACCAGGGCTGTGGAGTTAGAATAGTTCCAAATACTTTTTTAGTCAGTTACAAATTTAGACTCCTGCGCATACATTTAGAACTTCGAAATCAAATTCCAGATTAGGCTTCACAATCCTGATTCGAACAATACAGTGTTATTACCAGGGATTGTGTCAATGCTTCAAGTTCTGTAGTTAAGGGATTCGTATATAGACTTAGGAAGTCCTGGTCAAAACATTTTCGTAGTAAACGTTTGTTGGTGTTGGTTGGTACTCAAAAACACTTGTCGCTAAAGCATAACTTATTCAGACAAAAATAAAATGATAAATGCCCACAAGCCCAAACTCTGATCGAGAATATATCGTAGTGTTTTTCGGGTATATTTTATTTGAGGAAAAGACACTGCCAATGTAGTACACTCAAGTCTTATATTTTAAACCTTCGAATTTCTTCGCGAATCAGGTACCACGTAATGTGATTTTCGTGCAATGATTGCGTTGAAAATAACTGTTTATCCATCTTAGAAAGAAGGGCGAATAAAATGAGAGACGCACGTAGCCGGTAATATCATTATATACGTGCAGTAGAGATTTAGGTGTCCGAGGTTGAGATCCTAGATCAGGGGTATGCAACATACGGCCCGTGGTCCGGCCCGCCACGAGATTTTGACCGGCCCGCTGACTGTATCCAACCACTCTCTGTAATGTGGTCCGACGCATCATTCCTGAAAGTTGCCGATCGCTCTACTCTCACCGCATTGTCAGTGCGAGCTGGTGAAATAAACAATTGCCTCAGCACACTTGTTAAACAAAGAATAAAAGGTCAAAGCAGAGAGCGTTGTAAACATCCCCCACTACTGTTATCAGTTATATTTATATTCTAAATATAAATAGATTTTATATTAATTTCTATTAACCATGGAATATCCCAAGAAACGTAAAGTTGACAGAGAGTGTCCAGCATTTATCAAAGGTTGGATACGGAAGTATTTTTTGTAATAATCCGGCCAACCGACCATTTTTCCACATCAGGCCTGCCGACTAGAGAAGTTGCCCACCCCTGTCCTATATGATTCTAGAGGTGTATTGATACGATGTTTTCGTCGGTAAGGTCGGAAAGGTGCCCATACCGATACGCCGAAAATTTGAATTGCCGATATCCGGAACGATTTTTCTAGAATATATACTTATATATTATGTTCTCCAGAGTACGGGATGGATCAAAAAAATTTGGCTGGCAACCAGTATGTTCCCCAGCTTTTCTCTTTAGGGGGGGTGTTTCAAAATTTAGGGGGTGGTAAATAATTTGCTATTAGAGATAAAACTAGGCTATTTGTATTTTTAATAAAATGGTATATATTTAAGAAACGATGTACATGGGGGCCCCCCAGGTTGATTGACGGCGAGCCAAAATCCACAGCAGAATGAAATTGTAGGGTAAGAAAAGGGGAGCGAGGAAAAGTGCGGGACGACTCGGCTGGGGTTCAGGGCGCGCTTAAGCGCCCTGAGAAAATTTTGAGAAATAGGCACCAAAGCTTGATTTTAGATACACCTAGCATCGCAGTTTGTTATGCAATAAAATCAATAATTATAATATTTAGCTGATATAATTCCCGAGGAATAGATAACAAGCACGGCTTTCAACCGTAAATATATACTACTACGTTTCAACAAGTAATTTGCAACTGATAGTGACTAATGAAATTACTTGCTCATCTGGCATTGTATGAATGGCTACTTATGGCTTGTTTTGTTACACATTTCTAATTTTTTTGAACATGTTTGTTTGACTTTTGTATGAATTAAATTTTGAAATACGCTCGTCAACTGATCATAATGTCGCATAATGTTGTATTCCTTCAGAACTGAAATATTTTGTAAGAAGACAAATCGCTGAACTTTGATTCTTTTCAATAAAGAAATAAAAATGCTGTCATTCATCTAAAAAACGTCTGTTTTCAGTGCCTAGTTTTCGTTTTGTGACATCTTTAAGCTTTCTTAATATAAGGCTGATATCTAAAGTACTGCAGTGTGTAATCATAATACCCATACCTATACATAAGATACCGGAATAATCCAATTGTTACGAAATAAACGTTCCTGAACTGTGATAATGATGTAACAATAGACGGTAACTAAACCTGAAAAGGTACCACATGAAGGGTTAAACTATTTCACTCAAGTTCGGCGGGCCATTTTAAATCGTCACGCGGGCCGTAATTGGACCGCAGACTGCGGTTTAGAAATTAGAACCCCTCAGTGTGGAATCGCACCTCAAAATTAGGGGGGGTGTTTGAAATTTTAGGGGGGGTGTTCACCCCCTATAGGGGGGTGGTAGGGAAATCACTGCTGGCAACAATATTTGAAATGAACATTGTTTTAGCTTGGAACATAGCACCAAAAATTGACATTAGCGATTCAATGTGTCACTAGTCTCACTTCTTACGGTTTATTATATTACAGGGTGACCCCTAGCTGGACGGTAAGGGCTTCCTCCATTATCAAATTTATGCATCTGGGCGACACTGGGCGCCCGTTCTCAAAAAAATTAGAAGACTTTAGGGCGTGTTAACTTTCGAAAATTTCAGTGTGCGTCCAGCGTCAAACGTAGGACTAAGTCGAGAGGGTATATTAGATTTGTGATGTCATAATGTGTATTTTAGACAACGTGGAAAATATAGTGAGGCAACTGGTTAGGTTTAAATGCATTATGGCGTCATAGTGAAGTTCGATGATAAATGCTTTATGCCGTCATGTAAGTAATTTCAAAAATATGCATAATATAAAAATTGCGGTTATAAGAAAGTATATTTAATAATACTATTGAATCATTATGAAGTTTAAACTTGTAATTAAACGCCATGGTACCATAAAACTTGACATGATCCGTTTTGCGGGTGGGGTGGACCGGACATGGCTCGGTAGCTTGCCCGGACGTCCATGCGTCTGAACCAGGTCTGAACGCCTTCCATGATTTGATGACCTCTATTGGATCATATTGTGACAAATACCGCCTGTTGTATACATTGACATTATTATGTCGCATCTGGTAGTTGTATTTTAGTATGTTGCTGGCGTTGGGGTGCAATTTTATATCACTGCGCTGGTCTTAATTAATTTAAACTGCTTCCAACATCGCGTCGGTTTTTTATTTTCGGAGGCTTATTGTTTGCCAAGGTACAAAATAGGCCACATCCGTCGCGTACCTGAAGCTATTCACAAACAAGTGGTTTCGATTATGGGCATTTCCCCAGATAGAAACCGCCTAGTAATGTAGTCTTTCTTACAAAACCAATACATTCAGTGGCGTACGCATGATTTTGTGACTACATGCTGCCATATTTTGTGTTTTACACAACGGGAAAAACCATTATTCGATTAATATCTTTATTTAAAATTACAATTTAATATCAAATTATATATAACACATTTTGGTGAACAAAATGAGTAGAATAGTTGAGATAGTGTGGGTGAAAAACAGCTAAAAATAGGTAACAATCAGGGGCACTCGTTCTTAATATATTCAGAAGACTTTAGATCAGAACTTCAGTGTGCGCCCAATGTCGAACGTAAGATTAAGTTGCGAGTTATATAACATTTGAGATGTCATAATCTGTATTCTACAGTCCTAGACAACGTGGAAAATCCAGTAGGGCGTCATGTTATGTTTAAAAGCATTATGATGTCATAAGTCGATACAAAATACATTATGACATCTTCTATGTAGTCTCAAAATTTTGCACAATTCAAAAATTGCGGTTATAAGTAAGTATATTTATTAATACCTTGATTTCCAAATCATTGAGAAGTTTAGAGTTGTAATTAAACGCCATGGTACCAGAAAACGTGACGTGATACGTTTAACGGGGTGGGGCAGATATGGCTCAGTGGCTTGCCGACAGGTTCATGCGTCTGAACGCCTTCCATGATCTCTATTGGATCATATTGTGACAAATAATGTCTGTTGTAGAGATTGACATTATCACGTCGCGTCAGTCTCTTTGTTATGAGGCTTATTGTTTGTAAATGTACAAAATAGGCCAGACCCGTCGCTATTCACAAGCAGTCAACTGGTTTCGATTAAGGGGATCTCCCCATATAGAAACCGCCTAGTAATGCAGTAAAAATGTCGTTTTTTACCATTAACTCCATCATCACTAGTTAATTTACAAATAACTACTTCAGAGCGAAGCTAAATTGAGTCAATAAGAAATAGAAATATAGCGATGATATACTACTTACGCGATGGAACATCAGACGAGCAGTCAACATCCGAATCCATGGCAGAAATTTCTCTGTTGCATTGCAAAATAAATTGAAAAAATTCTCACGAAATCAAGTGTTGTAATAAAACGTTATGCTCATAAAATCCACTTGCCAATAGCCTATAGCTGAATTTATAATGGCAGTGCAGCGTTGAAGCTTGCACTGACTTTAAGCTTGGCAATTATCATCTGTCTACTCTACTGTATATACCTATTTCCGGGTATGCTATACAGATCACTTGGATTGCAAATATAATGACTAATGCGGCAGTATTCGCTAAATCAGTGAGTAACTCGGATAGTTATTGAAGATATTTTTTTATAAACTCAGCTTACGCTGACAAAACAAGCGATAGGCATTCAACTAGACAATTGCGCATGAATACTTAGTTCACCCAACTTTTTTCTCGAAGGCTGTAACCCGACCATGAACGAAAAGCGGCGACAGTCGTCACGCGCACAGAGATAATAAATTCGCTTCTCTCTCATTTCCCAGGGACAATTTGAATGAAGCCTCTCTCGTTTTGGCGATAGACTTCCAACTTTTACGAGGCATGTAATGCATTTCTTACGGGATTTGACAGAAATCGATTATTTGTGTCGATTTTCTTGCATATTCTCTTGATCTTGAATCATTTCACATTATGTATCAAACGCTAATATATCCCAGCGCGCCACACGGTGCTAATTTTGGCTGTTTTATCAATTTGCGTCGTGGTTTAAAAATATTTCCAACGTTTCAGTCAAAAGCGTACAACAACGACCACAGAACATTAACCAATATGCCCTCATTTACCTGTATTGGGCCATATCATATCGCCTTAAGTAATCTGCGTGACGATCTCAATATCATTGCGTGGGCTGGCTGCGTACTCCGTAGTACCCGAGCTATACATATAAATAGAACAACGGTGCATAACCTGCGGTCGTCGTGAAAAAATAATGCGGCTGTCCACATACAAAATCCTACAAACGAAAAAAAAAGTTCAAAATATAGGATTTGGCGGCTATGCTGGCGTATATTGAAGCAAAACAGAAGCACTGCAAAAAAGTCAGACGACACGATGCGTCAAATATACATCTGTGGCGTACCAAAATTGATATCACCACTCAGGTTCTTTCTGCCAGCTTCTTGGACGTTGTAATTGCTATAGATGTCGATCACAAAGTAATCTTCTTGCGGTTCCAAATACAGCAGAGTAACTACGTTAACTAACTAGATTAATTATACACCTGTGAGAACTTAATACAACCAAATACTCCAATAAGAAATACAATAAACAAATAAAAACACAGTACAAATACCGTAGGATACATACGTAACACAAGATACGGAATTGGTCTATGACGTCACAGTCATGAACTATTTACTTATAATGGGATACTAAAAACTGGGTAAAACACACCCAGATATACATAAGAATAACTAGTATGACACTAAAGATACAACACAAATCCTATCTTATCGACAAACACGTAATATACACGGAAATACGCATAGAAATCACACAGGAAATAAACTGCGAAGATAGACTAGTTACGGAAGTGTCCAATACAAGCTAACTAGTGTAGTAGTAGTAGTAGTATTTTATTTCGTCAACAATGTCAAAATCAAAATACAACATACAACATTTCAAAATTAATTTCCAAGGCATTGTGACGAGGCTGTGACGAAGCGACCGTTAGGTCATCGGTCAAATCGTTAGGTCAAATCAAATGTAATCATCCTAGTGAACAGAGCTATGCCAAACTGGAGAAATAGTAAACCTGTACTACTAATATCATTTTACAACAATAATTACACAAATTAACGGCAATAAAACTCTATAACAATAACCTAATACACAGAGGAAATATCTACACTGCCGGCAGTCTGACAAACCAGCTAAAAGAGAAAGTTACACAGCTGCTCACTAGTGACTCAAGTGGTAAGAATAAATATGGGCGAACAGAATAAAACAGGGTTATAGACGTGGTCGTCTCATTACTCCCCCCTTTTTCAGATGGGAAATTACAAAGAAATTTTCCATCTTCAAAATTGAAAATCCATAAAAATGTGAAGAAATTGTAAAGAACTGTACACTCAAACGAAATGTCTAAAACACTATCACAGTCAAATCAAATGTAATCATCCAAATATCTAGGCCTTCGCCTAGTACGTTGGCCATTATCAGAGTTCGCATCAACTGTAACTTCTTCTGGTACAGTGTCTGGCCTTGAAGAAAAGGGTAATTCATCAAAAATATCATGAGCAATCTGCTCATCATTTTCCATAATAGGTTCCACATCAGGTAAAATGTCAAATCCAGTTAAGTCAATGTCATTGTCTTCTTCATCTTCATGAAGGTAAGGTCTCAGTTTGTCAACATGCACAATTCGAGAACGTGTTCCCGAATTCTTCTGAATCCTATACAAGTGATTAGGTAAACAATCCACAATTCGATAAGGTCCAATCCAAGGAATACTCAACTTGCGATGCTTTGGTGGATAATAATACCACACCAATTCATCTCTCTGCAAAACCACTGGCATCAGTATCCAATACAAACTCGCCGACTGTTCTAGGAAAGCTAAGAATTGGAGCTGATGTCAGACAATGTTTCAACGTCTCAAAAGCCTTTTGACATTCATTACTCCATACAAATGGAATATTCTTCCTGGTCAATCGAATAAGAGGTCCAGCAATTGTTGAATAATCCTGAACAAACTTCCGGTAGTAGTTCGCTGTACCAAGAAAACTACGAATATCACTAACAGTGTTGGGAGTTTTCCATTCTTTGATAGCCGCAACATTTCCAGGGTCGCAACAGACACCTTCAGATGAAATAAGATAACCAAGATAAGAGGTGCTTCGACGGAAAAGTTTACATTTCGAGGGCTTCAAGCGTAAACCAGCACGGCGAAGTCTTATAAAAACTTCCCGAAGATTTGAGAGTGCCATTGAGAAATCACTACCATGAGCCAAAACATCATCAAGAAAATTGAAACACCCGTTCCACAGGTGATCACCAAGGATATTGTCCATCATCCGTTCGAATGTTGCGGGGGCATTCGCTAAACCAAATGGCATCACCACAAAGTGAAAATGTCCACGACCAGGGATGCTGAATGCTGTCTTTTCGCGGTCTGCAGGATCAACCTCCACTTGCCAATATCCGCTTGCGAGATCAAGAGTTGAGAACCATTGGGCTCCGTTTAAAGACTCAATGATATCCTCAATACGCGGCAAGGGATATGCGTCCTTGTATGTGACGTCATTAAGCAATCTAAAGTCCACACAAAATCTAGTAGAACCATCCTTTTTGGGAACTAGGACAATGGGAGAAGAATATGGAGAATCGCTGGGTTCTATGACACCCTGAGCCAGCATATTATCAACAGCTTTTTCGGCTATCTTCCTACGCGCCCACCCCATTCGACGAGGAGCCTGCCGAATTTGCTGCTGAAGTACGGCCAAGTTCGCCATTTGGCCCTACAAATACATCATGGAATTCGGAAATCAAATTGACCAACTGTTCACGTTGACTCGGGGTTAGATCATCGGCGGAATTGACCATGTCATGTAGATGTTCTGGTAATTCAGAAGCTATAACCCGAATATCGGATTCGTCAACTTGAATCTGTGCTACTAGCTGAGGATGTGCAATACCAATCAAAGATCCAGTCCTGATCTTAAATTGTCTGCCTTTCTGGTTGATAGCTAGAACCGGAACAGTGGACTTTCCAGTTCGCATCAACTGTAACTTCTTCTGGTACAGTGTCTGGCCTTGAAGAAAAGGGTAATTCATCAAAAATATCATGAGCAATCTGCTCATCATTTTCCATAATAGGTTCCACATCAGGTAAAATGTCAAATCCAGTTAAGTCAATGTCATTGTCTTCTTCATCTTCATGAAGGTAAGGTCTCAGTTTGTCAACATGCACAATTCGAGAACGTGTTCCCGAATTCTTCTGAATCCTATACAAGTGATTAGGTAAACAATCCACAATTCGATAAGGTCCAATCCAAGGAATACTCAACTTGCGATGCTTTGGTGGATAATAATACCACACCAATTCATCTCTCTGGAAAGTAAGTGGTTTAACACCCAGATCAAAATTTCGCTTTTGTCTGGTTGCAGCAGCATTTAGATGTTGCCTAGCATGAAGAAAAGCTTTTTCAGTTGCACAGGAAAACCATTCGACAAACTCAGTGTAACAAGGATGAGTTGATGACTCTGGTTTGCCAAACATAACATCAACAGGCATCTCGATTTCTCGTCCAAGCATTAACTTGTTCGGTGAATATCCTGTACTATCATGTACGGTGGAGCGATATGCCATGCAAAGGTATGGGAGATGATCGTCCCAATCATTTCGATTCTCATTTACAAAAGCTTTCAACATTTGTTGTATAGTCCTGTTGAAACGTTCAACTTGTCCATCTGTACGAGGATGATATGGAGTTGTTCGAGTCTTTTGAATCCCGTACAATTGACACATTTCTGAAAATAATTTTGATTCAAAGTCTCTTCCTTGATCTGAGTGGAGAATTCTTGGTACCCCAAATCTCGAAAAGAATTGAGTAACCAATGCATCAGCAGTGGTGTCAGCTCGCTGATTTGGTAAAGCAAAACATTCCACCCATTTAGAGAAATAGTCCGACAAAACCAAAATGTGTTCATTTCCATTTTCAGTTACAGGCAATGGTCCAAGAAAATCAATGGCGATCCTTTCCATAGGAGCTCCAGATATAAGTTGTTTCAAATCTCCCTGTCTTCTTCCGTAAAGCATCTTGGTCGAAGCACAAGACTTGCAAAATTTGCACCATTTGAGAATGTCCCTTTTGAAACCAGGCCAATAAAATCTGCGCCTTATACTCTTGAAAGTTCGATTGGCACCAAGATGACCTGCAGTGCGCAAAGAATGGAGCTTATGAAACAAATCCTGCCTCAAATTTGATGGAACAACCAATTGGATATGCGATTCCTCCGATTTACAATCAGGAATCCAACGACGATAGAGAAGTCCATTATCTACAAAAATCAAGTCCCACTGCGACATTAAACGTTTGGTCACTGTTGATTCAGGCATGTATTCTTGAATATCAGGTTTCCGAGCAGTAAGTTGTTTCCATCTCAAAACAGCAGAAATATCTGGATCTTCACTTTGCCAAGATTTAATTTGCTCATCTGTGTAGGTATCTAGCCAATTACAATCGGAACCGTCTGACGATGATTGACCGGGCTGTTTTGATATTGCACTTACAATAACATTGCTCACAGCCACATCACCATTGGTACCACAATCAGAACAATCTTCTCGTTTGCATTTGCGAACTTGGCGTGACAATCCATCAGCATTGCCATGTT